GCAAGAATAAAAAAAAAGTGTATTCCTCTCATAAATCATGTGACACATCGCGCAATCGCAAAAGAAAACAATCAGTTCGATGGTAAGGGTAACAATACAAGTGTCTTGGTTGATAGAAAATTTGCAAATCTTTTTTTAATAATTTTTTGAATAATATTTCTCGTAATTTCTCTCACCTCGCTAGACATAGAACGTCTATACGACAGATATATCCGGCGGAACATATCTAGATAAGTCGATGTGGCAACAATTAAATTGAGAATCGCTGTCCTTTGTATCCGCTTGTCCGCAACGAAACGAAATGTAACCGACCAGAGAAAATATACAGGGTATGTTCGTTGCGTGTAACGTCTCTCGGATCCGGAGCAGGTGCCCGACCGGGACTCAGGGCCGCAAGCTATTCTTCCGATGGTAGCAAAAACACGTTACGCGTGTTATAATTTAACGCCCGGGCAATCGGGTGGTTTATGTAGTTTTTATAACGTATATCTTGCAAGATGTCTTGTTAAAACTAATTTTTCAATCAAAGACAATACTTTGAAGAACAATGTCTTGAAGATGAGAATGACGCTACAAAAGATTAGAATGTTGGTTTCGACTATCTCTGACCTTATGGTCATTCCAACGGAATTCTACCTGGTCTAAAAATCAAAACTCTTTGATATTTATACTAAAGTATAATTTTAACCGTCAACCTATTCACTCGGACGAGCTACAAGTAGGATCATCCGGTCTAGACAAGACATTAGGTTAAGAACTTGTTTTGTCCAATATGAGAAAAAGAGAGATAGGCTCTGAAACGTTGTACATTTTTACATGATTTTTATTTTGTTATTTATTTTGATAATACTTTTATTATCTTAGCACGTAGCTCATGCGGTTACGTGGCATAAATTTAAAATTTATTAAAGAAGTATGGAATTTATGTATCAATAACAAATTATGAGGTATTACCAAATATGTAAATGGTGAAATCTTGCAATATTTCGGCGTTAACAGATAAGTAACTTCGTGAAATTTGAAGAAATTTCTTTTGCTCGGAGAGAGAAAGCGCGCGTAATAATATTTCAGAACTCCACTGAATTTACTGACGTTTTAATACGGAAGCTTCCAGCTGGCAAATATCGATATTTGTCGGTGCAGCGATTGCAATGTTCATAAAATTTACGGCAACTTTCAAACTTATCCGTCAATTTACGAGGCACGAATTCGAACTCGCAAAAAATGGAAATTTGGAAATATAATGCCTGTTTCCTTTGCGCGAGTCATCTTTGCACATTTAGTCGCTTAAAGTGACACAGCAAATTTATCAAGATTTTTCTGAAGAGAAAATGCTACACAATAAGAAACGTTATACACTGAAGAAAGATATGCTCGAACAATTTATTGTACTTTCTCGAACATCAGCAGCCTCCAAAAAGGCATTTCTTTTCGAAATCCCGGCAGGCTTTTTGTCTCTTTAGACATTCGACCTTTGTATTCTGAATAAACTCCATGAATCTTTTGTCTTTTTTGTTTACAATAGATAAGCAGGTAAAAAAAACCGAGAAGTCGGCATCTTGATAATTAGTTCTACTTTATTCTTAATTCTATTGCATTGTGTTCTTCTTTGAAGACTGCAGACTTTGAAGAATTCTTTGAAGGCTGCAACGTATAAAACAAATATAATATTACATTTCTTCAAAATCCATTTAATCTTCGTCTCTATTTACGTTTTATGTTATTGCTTTAGCAACATTAAGAATGATAACACATATTAGAAATGCAACATATAATTGTAAAATATGGAATGTATCGGTACGCGTGTTTCAAAACGATTTTGAACATAAACCTCTTTGGAAATCGCAACGACGTGTATGCATACTCATTTCGACCACGTGCAACTTAAGAAGGAACGTTAGTGTCACGATAGGGCTCTTGAGAACGTTGAATAATAACTACTGTCGCATCTTCGTGAGACGCTTAATGCGGTCTACCGTGCATGTCAATGAAAAAAAACTCGTAATTACGCGCGTGCAATGCTCGCAGCTAAATGAAAAGGTCTGCGTCTGCATTCGTAAATGCGTTTAGCTCGTTTTCTTAGAATGTTTTCATCTGACTGAGATTCCTGACATTAGCCGATGGAATGATTGGAAAGTCGAGCGCGTGACGAAAGTTAATGACAGCTCATCTACCTGTCACGCGAATTTGGAATTTTTAAAGCAAGCTTTAGAAAGTAAGATGTTTCTTAAAACGTTCGAAATTATCGATAAGCTAATATCCCACTTTTTTACTATTACTAAGATATTAAATCACCAAATTCTCCCAAATCTCACATCGTACATCGTTTAACAACGAAGTTTCAACATTTTATAATTTATGTATAATTTGCTAAATGGAATAATAACGATAAAATTATGAAAAAAAACTATTCATTGAAATCTTTTCGTTAATGGACAGCCATTCTGTGTAAATGGAAAAAGTAAGAAGCGTTTTATCAGAATAATATAATATATAACAGAGATCTTTTTTGTTTCTTACACCAAATACTGCTCGAGTTTTTTAATTTTACGCCTCTCAAATAAGAAGGTATTAACTTCCATTCATCTTCGCTCTTTCCGAGAAATTTTGCCGAGTATTTTCGCCACCGCCGGTTCGCTTGCGATTCGAAACTACGCGGATTTTCATCTCTGTGTAATTGATTTCCTCATTTCGAACGACGCTTCGCGCAACTGTCACGTGATAATTCACCCCAAAAGAATCCGTGGAAAAGAAACCCGGCTGTTTGTCTCCGCCGGTTTACTCGGGGTTGTTTTCTCATAAGCATCAGCCTTGTGAAATATTTTCCCTTCCGTACGATAATCTACCTACCTACCTTGAATATTTTCTTACTTCACGAAATAATAGCCTGAGCAGCTAAAATGGCTTGGGTAGCTAAAACTAAGAACACAAAAAAACTCCTCCAAAAATCCTTGTTTTTTTTTTAAATAAAAATTTGCTACGTGACATAATGGATTTTGTGTATGATATATTGAGGCAATTTTGCGCGAGTGAATAAGTATGTTTGCGTAAGACAAATTTCATTAATAGTTTCACCATACTTCGGTGAATATCTTTGATTTTTAACAAGAGCTTCCTACATGGTAATCTTTATATAACAAACTGTTACAAAGTAGTATTTCTCTCATTACGCTCGACGCGTATACAAGTTAATTCTGCAATATTTCACTTCTTGATTTCGTAATCTTATTTACACTTCATTATCTCTTAATTATATATGCTTTTTAATCATATCGTGTTTCGCCGATATAACACGAATAACTATATTTTATGATTAGCAATAAGAAAAGTGACGTAAAGAACATAGCCCCGAGTTATATGTTAAGGTTGAATTACATGTGTATACAGATGGACATACACGTATAGTACAAGAGTATAAACGCCGCTACGGTTACTATGCCCAATGAAAGGAAAGCAAAAGCGCGATCTCCGCACAAACGGAAAAACTGCGGCGTATAGGAAATTTTCCCACGGATGTAAAACATTCCCTCTCTCGCAATTCCCGGCATACTTTTCCTCATTATCTCTCATCCTCACCTAGCATTTATATCTTTAAAATTCTTGTATTTGTTTTTTTTTTTTTTTTTTTTTTTTTTTTTTTTTTTTTTTTTCAACATGAGCACGTTACACATTAATAATTTACGATCCAAAATATGATATAAAAATATTTCAGTACTGTTGATCCTCTATTGTATCCACTAAAGTAAAATTCAGTGAACACAATACTAGAAATTAATAATTAAAAAGATATAAAATATAGAAATAATTAAATTGTAATAATATAAAAGTAATAGAAGATTGAAAAAAATTAATTATCACACGTACAAGTTATCACTTGGATGCATAATCATTTTAGTTTCCGAACACTAATTAATATAAAATTTTGTGATAAATTATATTCTGATGCTCAGTGTCTTCTTTCATAAAATTACAACTTTGAAACAAATAAAAATCTGTGCATTTCGTAAAAAAAAAATACGGAATAATAATTGTAATAAGTATCAAGATATTTATTAGGGAAAATAAGATGTAAATTTGATTGCGTCGATCGATGAAACTAAGAAAGAGATCTAAGAAAGCAATATAATAGGACATAGTGTTTTATTGTTGCAATGAATAAGGGTTTTATCGATTTGTTGCAAACTATAGTGTGTCATAGGTTGTGGCACGTATATGAAACCTATGTTCATCCGTAATTGGTTAGGGTTCTATGTTCGATTGCCCAGCTGCCGCTTCAGACTTGCATTATTTATCGCAGTGCCGCGGAAAATACACATGTAATATATACTTATCGACAAAGTGGTCATGTTGATTCTATTGCGCTCATTATACGCTATGTACCGAAGCAAACGAAAATTATTCCAGGAATTTTTCGGCTATGCAGTCGTTCGTATTTAGTGAAGCCGGATTTGTCTCTATATACAGCGAACAGAGACTTGCTTTTAATTCTATCAGAAATCCCAAAATAGTTCATGTAATTTTATCTCAATGTCATTTTCGATGACGTTCGATTCGGCACTTCGCAGTTAGCTTCGAAATTCGTAGATCAAGATCAAGGTTATCGTCCCGACCGTCGAGTAGTCGTACCGTGCGACCGATCGATCGTTAGACTATCAGAGAGCTTCTTTCGATCCGGCCACCCGTTATGACGCCAACGGGCGTCGCGTCGCATCGCGCCGGGTTGATGCCGCGCGATGAGGGTGTTGCGCGCCGTTCGAGAGGGCAACGGGGGGAAAACACCACCGGCGATGGCAATGGCGGTGGTGGTGGTGGTGGTGGTGGTGGCGTCGTCGGCATCGGCTCGGCGTCGGCGTCGGCGTCGGCAACGACGGTGGTGGTGGTGGTGGTGGTGATGGTGGTGGCCGCTCGAAAGTCCCCACCACTCACCGCAGCGTCTCGACGCCGTGGTTCAACTCGACCTCCGCTGTTGGAGCGTCGTCTCAGTTACCAACAGACCGCGCGATCGCTCGCATCGCCGTGCGAAGCGAGAGGGGAGAGAAAGAGAACGAATGAGAGGAAGAGAGTGAGAGAGAGAGAAAGGAAGGAGTGCTCGAATGTGGCGTGTATATACGCGCGCAAAAGGGAGCGAAAAAAAAAAGAAAGATCAAAATAATACGAGGGAAAGGCGCATCTCGGGGAAGAAAGAAGAGGAATAGAGAGAGCGTAGGAGAAAGAAAAGAGAGGAGAGTGAACTATGTTACCAGTCGTCGTCGCCGTCGTGCCGCTCGGTCTCGCCTGAACAAAGGAAGGTTCTTCTCCCTCGACTCTCCGCGTCGAGGGTCGTTTCCGATCGACGAACCGTCGGGATCCTTCCTCGGGTGTCTTCGGTGTGGTTCGTGTGCCTTGAGCAAGCACGAAGCGGTCAGTCACGTAGCAGCGGCCGTGCCGTGAGGAACAAAGGACGGCGGCAGGATTTGTGTGAGAAAAAGAGAGAGACAGTGAGGTGAACAACGAACGTTACGGCGTCGCGCACGTTACTTTCGGCAACATTATTCACATTCGCGATCGAGAAGCTGGCAGTGTGTAGACACAATCGGTCGTGATTTCCCCAATCTGAGAATCCTTGCTTTACCAAACAATCGCGAGCCGCACAGAGCCGGTGCTCTGAAAAAAAAAGAAAGAGGAAAGAGAGAGAGAGACGCGCTGTAAAGTTTGCGACAGAAAAAGAGACTCGCGAGATCCGACGCATCGCGAAATTCATCGACCTGTGCACCGTGCGTTGTTTTTTGCTTTTTTTATACTTTTCTATCCTGACGATTACCCAGTGCAACGATCCCAGAGTAAGAGGAAGAGAGAGAGAGAAAGAGAGAGAGAGAGAGAGTGAGAAAGGATAACGAAAGGAAGGAAAGCTACTACCTGCCTGTAGGGATTCCGCATGAAGGACGCGAATTGTGAGAAAGAGAAATAGAGAGGGCTGATATATAACGGCCGTGCGAGAAAGCAGTGGAGTGATAAAGATATCCGGATTTTCGGGCGGTATACTGCGTACCTGCGAACGAACCGGCGACCTAGCCTAACGACAACGACGGTGGAGAAGCGCGCGCGAAAGAGAAAGAATCTCGTCGTGCAAGAGGAAGAGAAGAAAAGGACGGAGACGAGAGGACGAAAGTGAAAAGTAAACGGTCGATCTCTCCTTCGAATTCTTCGTCGTTTATTTAACGACATCGTTGGTTTTCGTGTGATATGTGCCACAAAGTGCACTACGACTGAAAAGGGATCATCGGCAAAGCAGAACATTATTCAACATCACACGGATTATCCTCGTATTTACGGTGAGTCTGATAATCAATGGAATAGTAAGGCGCCTGAAACCGGGGACTCGGCAAGTCACTTCCTCTTTCGGAACATAAAAATTGTAAAATCCATTTTAAAACATCCCTTCTCCACGGGGTGTCTTATTGTTAGTCCGTACATTAGTATTTACAAGTTTTGTGACCATTTTTAAGAAGAATTCAAATCCTTTTTTCACACAGAGTTATGAGAGAATTTTTTAGGTAAAACTGCAGGAATGTGAATAAAGTTAACAAGTTCGTCTGCATAGGAAAATCTTGCTTTTAACTTGGTTTCGAGTGGATTTTACCAAACGTTTTACTCGGCGCTTAATTGTCAAGGTAGTTGGTGTTCAAAATTAAAGCATTACGGCAAGTATAGGCGTAGTGTGATCATATTTAAACCATGCTTGTGCCAAGTAAAATTACATAATCGTGCGTCACTCGTCGTTAATTTTACGATAGCGGTTACTTAAATCGATCGAGTCGAGTTCTATCAAGTTCCATTTCCTCCCACACATTAACACTTCAGGCTGTTCGATTGAATCTCGCTTTCTCATTCGCGCTCGGACGGCTTCTCAATGACGAAATTCTACGGCGGCGTCGCTTTTGATCGTTAAAGAATTCGTGGGAACAATGACACGCTCGAGAATCTCTCCTTCCCTCTCTTTCTCTCTTGTTATTGTTGGGACTGTAATCGCATTTTCCACGCGGAGTGGCGACCTCGAACGCGGTCCTGAAAGGAACTCCACGAAGCTGTCGGAATAAGGTTGTCGTGTTTCGCTGCGAGCAAGTCGGCGATGTTTGTATATCGGTGCTCCCGTTTATTGTCCTTTCGACAGTAAACAGGAGCATTTGCGCGATCGGTACCGTGAGACCGTCGCCGGTTCCTCGAGGACTGTAACGTGGTAAACGCTATCATGAACGACCGATTTGGGGTTACTCGGAAAACTGTTTCTTCTACAAAAGAGGACATCAGCTGTTTCGGAATCGTTTGAAGTCTTTTTCTTTGAACTAAATACATAAATGAACTAAAACAATAAAGATGTTATTGCTGCATTAGAAAACCTTACGGTATTGTAATTCTTTTTTTATCACGATATAGATTTTGTTTTGTTAACAAGATATCGTGACAGAAGATAGGAATATTGTTCTTTGAAATTTATCTACTTGACACAGAGATTATCGGTCTATGTCGCACTGGTTAGAGTTACGGGACGAAAAATTTGGAATCATACGGCCACATTTAGCCCTAAATATGCCGTGAGAGGGCACGGGTCTTTGAGAATCGCCGCGTCGCGTCATGACGAAGTTTAACCGCGTTTGTCGGCAGACGTGTTTGCGGAGCACCGAAGAGCGGTTAATTAGACACCGGTTCGAAACTGACGTCCGTGCTCGTCGTGACGGCAGTTAATTTATGCAAAAATACAATCATGTGTGTGTGGACTACTATCGCGATATTTCGAAATTGCTGCGTCCGGTAGTTCGTAATTTTGTCGATGACAGATAGAACACAGTGTGATGCAATATCCGACCGAAAAAAACAGCCTTAACCTTTTTTCTGA